TATTACGCCGTCTTGCAGACAGCCACGCAGTGCGTCGTTAAGACGTAACCACCGCCGTTTCGCTAACTCGCGGTCAACGAAATCCTGTCGAGAACGAGGTTAGGCTTAACCAGTCGTAATCGTTACACTCGAAGTGATTCTCACAACCTCGCCTCGTCACCGGTGAGATTGTTCGACTTTGTTCTAGGAAGCCAGAAGCCCGTCCTATCAAGTGCTTCGCCTGTCCAATCCTATCTAGTTTGTCCCCACTCTCACACAGAGTGACATTTCTCTGCACAGGAATCTACTGCGTCCCTACTCTCCAAGAGATTATCCAAGTTTGCACCGGTTCCCCAACCGGCGCCCCGACCGGTCCAACCGGGCAGACGCCGGCTCCTACGACGCCCGGTTCAAGCACGCCCGGTGCTACGACTCCCGCCCCGACCACTCCAACCGGGCAGGCGCCGGTTCCTACGACGCCCACTCTGAACACGCCTGGTGCCACTCCGGCCTCGACGACGCAATCCACGGGCCCCGTACCTACGGATCGCGCGCCTGAGACCACAAGCTGCTTCACCTCCTGTGAGATTGCCGCTTTAATTTGCTCCGGGTTGGTTTGAGGGAAAGTGGAGCGGTGCTGTGCGTGAAGACGTCTTTTGCTCTTGTTCCTTTGGCGATACGTATTGGCTCGTCCGTTCGCTTGTAGTTTTTGTGTCCCGTCACCTGCCTGTTGCTACTCTGGCCGGAAAAGTGATGTAACGCGTCGTCATCAGGAAGGTTTTCATCGCCTTTCGGATGTCAGACGAGCGGTGGCGTCGTTTCTCATCTGATTCACGTATTGTCTCATAACCGTGGTCAAAATACTGATGGTCTCATTCCCCTCCCGTCTCTTTCTCCTACATGACTTTCCTCAGGTTTGATAGATCCAGTTGTACTGACCAACTACCTCTCCGTGCCAGATGTTCTGCTTGAAACTAACGGTCGACGTTTTGCCTCACAGTGTCGGCCTGCGGCGATATATGTGACGTCACCTCCTCAACTCCGAACCGTTGCTGCAACGCGGTAAGTCAGCCTGCCCTTGTCTGACTAAGGCGTTGTTCTGAACTTCAATTCTATTAAAGACTTGCACGAATCTGCCCGGAAGTTTCACTTCCAACCGCTTTTCTTAGCTGCAAAAAAGACAAAGTTTGGGTCAATCGCGCGTTTGCCTTCGTTCGACGGAGCAGTGCATAGAAGTGTGTAATGTAAGAACTGGAGCTGACGCGAAACCCTGTCCGAGTTTGCAACAGTCGTACTCTTGATTTACGACTTCGAGCTGTCTTGCCGGATAGATATATTCCGGACTTTGGAAACGGATCAGAAAACAGAGGCGTCCATCAACTACTCGATCAGGGACGTGGATATTGGTATGGCCTCTAAGGGTGTGGATTCACGAGCTCCAATTCTCCCTATCCGTCAATTTATCCTGGCGGTTCGACCTTCATCATTCTGGATTGAGATACCTTTATCGAATAGTGTCAGTTTCTCTGAAAGCTATGATTCTGTATATACAAACTTGACCGTTGGATGTACAGGAGGGGACGGTCGGTGTTTGCTGTCCCGCTGGTTGCGGCCCCAGTATGCCCTTCGACAACTTCTCCCTCCCCACCTGCGGCTGAAGGGTTCCGTTACCCGCAACGACTTCGGTCCGCGGAACGTGTACGATACTGTCGGACAGTGGCGGGAAGTCTGGGGTCTTTTGGTTCAATGAGCGAAGGATGAGCCTACGTTCCGTCTTCTAGACGGCTGGTGCGAATGAGCTAAGCATGACGTGGGCAGTAAAAGATTATTCCTGCCTGAGGATGAATAAGTTGGTCAGACAATAGTTCTGGAATTAGGAATCGGTCAGTTAGCGCAGTTGGTTGCGTCTTGCAACCGGCTTTGGCATTTTGTGACCGAGAACATAGGCTATAGCAGTAGGCGTAACGTATCTGCTCGGCGGGACGTCAAGGACGTACAGTCACTAGGGGGCTGGTAAGAGTATGCGCGCGTGCATTCTATGCACTAGTCTGCAGTCACCAATTTCATGCTAGAATAAACTGTCCAGCATTGCAAAGCCGGCTTAGGACAACAATTCTGGCGTAGGAATTCTGGCATGCACGCTTGTCGTTATGTAGTGAGTCTAGTTAAGTCCTAGGACCCCTACCTATTTTGGCTGCTAGCTGTACCAGATGTTGCAACGCTGACGGTAATTATGACGAGGACTCACTGAGAAAGTACTCGTGTTTTTGCAATTGGCAAGTAGAGAGTCTGCTTCTGCTAACGTGTCGGGCGATACAGTTTCTTGCTCTCACTTGAAGAGGCTAGCAAGAAGTGGTCTCAGACAGAAGCCCTGTAAACGCTGTGCCGCTCTTTTATGAAGCGATCCCCTACCAACATGTGTTTTCTGAGTATCTTATGATTCATCTCCACAAAACTAATCAGTTGGAAGCTTAATTCATTTCTCATCTTGCATTTGAGTGTTCTTTCCTACTAGACCATCTGACGCGCAAGTCATCATAACGTAACTCGGGGGGATTGTGTAGTAGTCTTGAAACAAAGACTCGAATGTGAAAGACCATGGCCTACACGTGCGCCCCGCTCATTGTGCTGAGCTCAATTTATAATGGTCTCCAAAGAAAGTTGCAAGGGCCAACAACATCTGCATACAGAGAATCCTACGGGTGTTTACTATTTTCCGAGATGCTAGACGATTTTTACAAATTGCGCGTACAACAGGAAAATAAGGCTTACTCAGGTAAAACGGTGGATCGCCGCTCACTTTTCGACAGAACTTAAGTCAAACTTCCTGAGATGTTACATGGACGTCGGAAGTGAAAGTAAAGCTCGCCATGTCGATCCGAAAGAAAGGAATGTTGACTGGCTTGTCGTGCATGAGTCTGGTGTCTTAAGGCGCCTCCAACTTCAAATAATCTGGTGCCCGACTTGGCCGCCGTGGTTACCTGTATGCCAGATTGTCACTAGCACACGATCGAATCTTCTGACATTTTTTCGAAGCATCTGGAGAAGCGAGATATCCCATTAGTGAGACCGATTTCTTCTGATTAGTTGTGCACAAATTCAGTGCACGATGCAAGCGGCCGTGCGCGGGGCCGTCTCAGGATGTCGATCATTTACTCGTCACAAGCGTTAGGCATTCAAATGCAAATTACTTTTCTTGGTTGACTAACTCATTTCGTGCCCCCTGGCGGATGATGCTGACGGGTCGAGATCATAGGTACTCTGAACCAAGCTTGTAGCCTATAGGTAATTCAGAGGGAGTGCTCAGTGGAGATTCGCTCGCTGTAGCCTTGGTGCGTGCCGCCGGGCCGCGCCCCGCTGGCGCGGCGGCCGCGCATATCTGATCTGTGGCGGCCGCCGCGCAATCATTGCAGTCGCCTATAACTTATACTATTAGTCCTTACCCCCTTTGTTTTGCCTACAAACGCCAGGCCCGGCCTCGGTGCAAGTCCCACCTACCGTCACCTGTCCAACCTGCCGTCACCTGCCGTTGATCATATCCGTCTGTATGGCGGTTCGAAGTGAAATCCCGGTTTCTGGTCCCTGACCGACCAAAATCCGAAGGATTTTCGAAAAAATATATAAAAGTTATCCACTTTTGGTCTCGGACTCTGCGATTTTGAGACCAAGTTTTATGCAGATACCAGAGAATCGGTAGAACTTTTTGGCTTCTGCCCCAGAATTTTTGGTTTTTCCTGCCTTATCAGCATATTGTGAGTAAAATATATTTAATTTTTCCCGACCGACCGACCCAAAACCGGGATATAACTTCGACTGGCCTATTGGAGGTAAATCCCGCGCCGTTAAATAATTTCAGCCACCATGCAATGCCGTTTCTGAGGACATTCTTCAGGTGGTGTCCGGCTCGTTGCCCGGTGTCTTCGTCCACAAAATTGAAAAGCACGCACCGTACGAGCCCCAGAACCGAATCGGGTCCAGAAGTGGATCGCGCTGACCAAGAAGTGGATCAATTTTTATGTTATCTTGTTCCAGTCTACGCCGATCGCCGATACCTCTAGTCGTTTTGCATTTTATGACCTAAAACAAAGGATTTCAGGGCTGCAAGGACCTCCTCTTGGCCAAATTTTAATTCGTTTGCAGCCCTTGATGAGGTTTAGAAATAAAGGATATGCGGCGAAAACTGATCACAAATTGGTTCAGATTTGATCACAGCATTGCAGATAAGCGCTCAAAAAATAAGGTGAGCCGGTATAGGGTCCCGTACGGCACTTGAAAACTAAAATTTGGCAATTATGTACCGTACTGCTTTTTAATTTCGGCGAAAAATAAATAATTATTTGGCCTGCTGAAAATTTTAAATAATTATCCAAGGGCGATAATGGTCGATAACGGTTCTTTTTAGCAGGTAACGCTGGGTCTGCCGAAAGTTTCAAACGTTTCATAATTAACTATTTTGCGTCGAAGGTGCCGATATTAAAAAGCAGTACGGTATTATGATGCAAGGCATGCTCACGTGGCATCCCTTGTGGCACCAATGGCGCAAAAGTGGCGCAAAACTGGCAAAAGTGGCAGCTCTTCTCAAGAGCAGCGAAGGCAGGCTGCAGCTTGGAACAGGTCCCTAGCTGTGCTTCAATGCAAAAGAGGAGTTTCTGGAGTTATGCAGGGGGTCCCTGACATGCATTTGCGGTTACGCAGTTAAGTAGCCGCTAGATTTTTGTTCTGCTGCAAAGAGATAGCGATTTGATGAGAGGAAAGTGCTCTGACCATCTTTTTCGTGCGGAGATCCGTGCCCCGTTCAGCCCAGCCATTTCACAGAATACAAGAGCCGTTTGAGGAACGTCAGATTGAGAAAGGGTAGAAAAGCAGCTGGTCACATTTGATTTGCTAGCTTCTCTCACAGCAATTAGCAGTTTGCTCAGCCTCTACTTCGTGTCATCTTGCGCTTCTGTCTTTTGCTTGTGAGGCGCGTATATATAAGGGGCTGGCGTGGTATAAGAGATGGCCGCTGCGGCAAGGTGGCAGAGGGCCGGGCTGGCTGAGTACTCCTTCCAATGCATCAGATCCGGGAACATCTTTACAAAGGGCCGATGCATAGGGCCTGCTGTTACCCCATGCAGAAAGTGCGGATGCGAGCTGGACAGAAGTGCGCGACATCAGAGCCAACGGCAAGGGCAGAGAGCACATACTCAGAAAAGTTTTCAGGTAAGTGTTTCCTCGAAACCGCATGTAATAAGGCCACATTGCATGCTATTGGCAGACAACCTTTGGGATCCTTGAATTCCAAAATTAGAAAATGGATTTCAAATCGTCAAGTTTGGGGATCTTCAACTGGTTTGTCTCTCAGTGTCCATTCAGGGAGCCAAACAGTCCAATGTCTCGCTTGACATACAAAGAAGTATCAGCGGATTTTCGCGTTGATCACCTTCAGTTGTCTGTACATTTGCTTTTGTTCACACGCTGCTTCTGACACCTGCCTAAACAATTCTCTGTCCTTTCGAATGCCCACTGTAAGCCCCTGATCACATTGATCCGCTGCCAGCATCCTAAACACATCCCACTGCGGCCCGCTGTTGTTGCCTGGAACATAGCATTCTCTTCATCAAAGCAACGGCCTTTATATTCACCTAACGCGCCTAGAGGAAGCCTAGAACTAGACTGAACTGAAATCCGAGCACATGAGCTTGAATTTACAAGTTCGAAACTGTCTTTCATAGCTTTGGTCGCCATGTCTGCTGCAGTTGTTGTACCTCAAGAACCCGAACACTCATCGATTGCATCGCTTTTCAAATGGAAGCCACCGGAATGGATGCAGTTCCCAGTCGGAGATCTCAATACCTCCGACAGAACTCATGTCCCCAACGTATCCTTGATACATAGACCATAGACATCAAGTATGGTTTGTCAATCAGCAACCTGTGCTGAGCACCACAGTTCTTCGCTCCTATCATGCAGAGCACTTTCATTGGACGGAACATTGGTCTTTGGCATAGAAACACGAGGAGCACTGGAAAGCGGGCCTTCTCTGTGCACGCCACCCTGACGCGTCCCGTAGAGCACACGAGTCTAGTTGCGGAGGATCCTCCAGGGCTGCTTGCTTATGAGTTGGTACAGGGCGCACTGGTGAGGTGACGGAAAACACCTCGATTGAGACGTAGAGCCGTACACTTGGCAGCGCCCGGCAATATGGTGTTTTTGGAGTGATCTCCGGTCTGACTTTCCAAATATTTCTATTGTTTGAATATCGTATGGGGCAGATTCTCTTTTCTCAGTTACCCGACTTGCTCCCTTGTTTGAATTTTAGTGATTGTCTCGATATCAGCGATGTCAGATATCAAGCACTGTGTCTGCACACACGACTAAGCATAAGGCTCTGAACCATGTTCAAGACCTTTTCTTTCTGTTGGACTGTGCGAAAATATTCAGATATGTTCCGCCTAACTCAGCAGGTTCTATGTTGATGGCATTTAGAGCTCCCTAGGCTCCTATCCTGCATATTGCGCTCCTTTCACAATCGCATCAGCAAGATTCATTGGGTTTCTCAGGTGCGATGGTCAGACAACAACGGAAAGCGGACGCCGGCACCTCCAACGGCGGTGTTACTGCACGGGATCCTGGGGGGCCGACGAAACTGGAGTGAGTCTCCTATGCGAATCCAGGCCTCCTAAAAGCACTGACTTTCTTCTTCCTCGCTTTGACTTGCATCCTTGTCTCGCTCCAATGTGGACTTTTCGAAAATCTCCTGCAGTGCATCCGTGCTCGTCTGGACAGTATCAGAGGCTTCGTGACAGGATAGGCGCTCGGATGTCATTACAAGATAGTCTACCGATTTTTCACCATGCTGAACACAGAAGTCGTCTCCTTGCAACAGGTTCTTTTGCGCGGCGCCTTGCGCAAGAGTTCCCGAACTGGCAGGTGAGTCAACTGCAGTCTGACGTATGCTGTGGCTCCCTGAGGTCCCTTTTTGAAGTGCCGACACAAAAGACGTCAATAGGCGTAGTCGCCATGATTCCAGAGATGTGCGATCCCGGATGGGCAAAGCAAAACGGTATTTCAGACCGAAAAAGTCCAGTCGGTAAGTTGACAACCTGCGTCCGGAATACCGTTCAACAATCCGAAGTTTAAAGTGGTGAAAGTACTGGCGTGCTCACTAGATTGCTTCGTATGTTTGGAGTGAAAGTTTTGCTTTGCCTTTCCGGAATTGTGTATCTCCAAAAGCAGGGCGACTACATCTAGTCGAACCTGGACAAGCTTGTCCTAAATGGGCGGCCATTTCAACCTTCCACAGAATGCTGCGAGTCTTCTGAGGACCAACTCCGCTTGCCGATATAAAACCCTGTCCCGTGGTAATCCTTGAAGCTAGGACGACTTGTTCATTCCTCGCAGAGGGTTCGCTATCAATTTCATATGTTGATTGACAAGTGTTGCTAAGAACTGGAGGTGAAGAATTAGCAGAGACTTTCCGGTTGGATCGGTTGCCGTCCGCCCGTGTCAACCAAAGACAATCATCTGCTGCAGTTCCTTTTAGTCGACCTCCGATGTCACGGCGAGTCTGCCGCAGTCAGGCGTCCGGGGCCCCACAGCGTTGACACCGCCGCACTAGACGTCCTCCAGCTGGTGAGCAGTGTCGGACATACTGTGTCAAAGCCCTCCACCTTTTGAGCTTGGAATGCTAGATTCAGCTGGTGAGCGATCGAAGAACCTGTTTCAGAGGCCCCATCCGCCTTTTGGGGTTTGGAAATTGAAAACGTCATCTCGAGGCAGCACCATCAATCATGTGACTCCCTTTCCCTACTCCTTCCCCTGAGAACTTTTTCCTGGTAGGAGTCTAGTGCGTCTGCCCAAGTCGTGCTTGACTTCGGCTACTGGTGTATCTCGTCTATCCGGCACTTTGCTTTATGAAAGAAGGTCTGCTGCAAGTTGGAGACATCGTTGCATCGATGCATCATTAGCTTTCCAGCAAACTGCTGAGTTGCGCGTTACTGTTACCCGTGCCGATTACAACAAGTGTCAAGGCTGCAATTGCTATGAGGAGGCTTGCGAAAGCAGGCTGGTGTAAATTGCAAAGGACGATCTCTTACTCGGAGCTTGTCCCTTGTGGTCGTGCGTCTGGGCGTCCAGAGAACTCAAACTCAACCCCAAAATCTGGCCTGCCGGTTTGCAGATCGTGCAACTGAAGCTCGTTCCCCGCATGCTCATCGGGCACAGCTTCGGCGGCAAGGTGGCGCTCAGTATGGTGGAGCAAGCGAAGAAGCCGCTAGCACAGCCAGTACAGGTGGGTGCGAGTCAATTCTGTGTCTCATTTACAAAACGTCTCCAGGCTCTCCTAGCATATACTTCACAATCGTTGCATTTCGTCGAGGAGGCGGAATTCTTCTTGCTGCCGAAAAGGTGCTTTTGAACACCAAGCCGTGGTCCTCGAAGCCCGAAGACACTTTGGTCACCGAGCGAAATAGTGATGATGTGGCAATGGTCAATTCGCCCCTCGTAAAGGTTTGGTTTGGTCCACTCGCCATCGTCAACTACGAACGCTCAGAAAAAGATATTCAGAGTCACTGCAGCACGATTGCATTCCGTCGTTTGCGCGACGAACGTGACCGTCAAAGACCGAGGCGCCCAACAGGTCGTCGGCTTTTTTCGTCCCTGATTGTTACTGCAGTTCGGGTTTTGGATGTCGCACCAGCTGTCAAATGCTCTGCGTAAAGCGCACAGCTGTGCAAACCTTGATGACGTGGCGGCATTCATTGCAGCGCCACGTTTGCAACGTGAGATTGGGAACCTCGTCAGCAGGTCAGAGTAGGCGAGCACGGATGCATCAGCACTGACGGCACAAACGACCTAAAACGTCACATACCTCGGATCCTGGAAAGCATGAAGTCAGCTTTTCTCTCGTAGCAACTTTCGAGCCTATCTTGGCCTCTAAAGTCGCCGGACGACTAGATTGGTGACACGCGCCTCCTTAGAGATCTTACTCATTCTCGGCGACCATTGCCTGCGGCAGGTGTGGGTGTTGGACGCCACGCCGGGCCTCGTCCGAGCGGGGCTGGACGAAGAGGACCACCCCGCGGAGCTGATTGCCGCACTGAAAAAGATGCCCAAACTAGTTCCGGACAGGTGAGCCCCGCGCGTCCGTCCGAAATTACGGTCTGGCAGGAGAGTACGGGGCTTGTGTGCTTGCTACAGATATGTTCTGCGAACGTTCTTGACAGAGGGCCGGTTTGTGAGCCCCGTGTGTTCGTGCACTCGGTGCCTGGTCAACAGCCCGCCGAGGGAAGTCGTTTTCGTTGGGGGTTCAAAAAGTGGTGGATTGGGTGGACGCTTCGCCCAAAAACTCGACCCTTGATTGATAAACCGATCTGAAGCCCACATATCGTTTCGCAGCATTGAGCAACACTTGCGGGGTTTTCGACTAGCGCAAACCGTCACCTCGAGGATCACGTGCAAAACGTAGCGATTCAAACCAAAGAACAACGGGCTTAGGCGGTGACGTCGTCGTTTGTGCAGGCGGTACATCATAGACCGGCTGATCCAGGAGGGCTTCTCCCCCGGCATCGCCCAGTGGATGACCACCAACCTTAAAAAGACGGAAAACGGCTACGGCTGGGTATTCAACTTGGCCGGCATTTCGGACATGTACCGGTCGTACGAAGACACGTACCTCTGGTAAGTAACTGCGCAGCTCATTCTCTGTCGCAGCTTTCCATTGCCTTGTCCGCATTTCTTCTGGCCATCATGTTTCCTTACTTAGTTGCTGCAGATAGTCGAACAAGGATGGCACCGGTAGTGGATCGGTATGAATCTTGGAAGTCTGAGCGAGAGTGTTTGTTGGCAGCTCGAGAAGTGGCCGGAACGGTTTGCTGTCAATCTGCAGCCGTTCGTCAGGTCATTTGCTGGACCATTCAAGTCCCAGTTCCGATCTTCCAAAGATTGTAATTTGTGCTTGTTTTGAAGGACAATCCAAAAGCGTATGGTTCGCGACACATAACGAAGACGTCTGTTGAGTTCGTTTCGCTGGCAGCCAGCAATTACCTGCGAACCTGTTGTCCTGCAGGTACAGCGTTTATACTGTCTAATCTACATTGTGAATTGCTCGGCAGAATGCCTCCGCTCAATAGGCATACTCAGGAATCCTTTCCTGCTGTCCGGCTTGACACCACACAGCCAACCCGTTCCTCGTACTTTTCCACAGGCGGATAGTGGAAGACGTTCCCGCGGGTATTCACATCAACTTCCTCAGGGCGGAGCGCAGCCTCCACCGGTGGCACCGCGACGATATCGACCGAATCTACTTCGCCGAGCACGCCGCAAACTGGCAGGGGGGCGCTGGGGGCGTCCAAATGCACGTGCTGGCGGACGCTGGACACTGGGTCCATACGGACAACCCGGAAGGGCTGTTCCGGATACTGGCCCCGTCGTTTGGGCCGACGCAAAGCCGGCAGCACGTGTTGCAAGACTAGCAGGCCCGGTGCACGAATATTATGTCGCTGTGTTTGAAAGGTTCGAATGAAACGATGCCATGTAGGTGATTTCAATAACTATGTTGACGAGTGTAGAGCTGTTCCAAATGGTGCAGCCACCGCTTGTCTTAAACAACAAATCCAACTGATGTGGTGGCCGAAGATATGGCCCGGGCTACACGCTCAAAGAAAGCTTCCTGCCACTGACACGCACTGCCTGGCTCGGCATTATTTGACAAAGGTAAGCCCGGGCCGGCCCCTGCCGTCCGCAGTGCTTGCTGGCATCATGCTAATCAGGTCAGCTGTTAACATAGCCATGTCATCATTATGTAAGTGTCGATGATAGGTACATTGGGACTCTCAGCGGCTCAGTCCATTGTTACTAGCTAAAGACATGCAATCATGATAATCGCGGGGGGCCCGTGCTGCAATCTCAGAGCGCCCGTGGCATATACATACTGCGTAGTGTGTGGAGCTCAATGTATTTTATGCAGCTAGTGCGAATGGCCTACCGGCATGCCGGTGGGCCATTCGCACTGCAATTTGAATTAAGTAGCTATAATTGAGAGCTCCACTACTGCCATACCTCTGTTGCATGACCCCGCGATCCCATCCGGAAACGTTTTGGATTGAACACTTCATGCAGTAACTCCCATTTCACTTTAGAGCCATTAATTTCACTTAGAATAGGCGCCCGGCCAGGAGACGGATAGGGTTGGCGCTTGGTATGGTACGTTCGGGTGCGGAGCGCGGGTGATTCTGTCGACGTTAGGGTTTTTGTTTTGTTTGCCCGGGTAGCTCGGACATTAAGTGAAATCAGAGTTACCATTATGGATTGAACATGCGTTTCCATAATGATTGTCGCATGGGTTGTCTCAAGCCTGAGTACGTATATAGCTAACCGTGAACATTCTTTCGACATGGGACTCCATCCAGGATTTTGGTATCCTGTGCAAGCCTGACCGCTGGGTGGCCAGGCCAGCCAAATTGTAGCGCACCATACGAACCACAATGATGCATATGCATGCAGGCAATCCAGCATGTTTATGGCAACTATGCAGAAGCAGGTTTCACATTAAGTCAAGCGCCGCCAACCTAAGATTCACATCCTCTGTAGCTCATGCAGGTACCGTTGATTGGGCGCACGTCCAACTGAAAGAGAGTAAAGCACTGCAGCCTTTCACTAAGTATCAACATGCTCAAACAACCTAAATCCTACCTAGAAAGCAGCTCGCATAAGTATCGTCGTACCTTTGATGGTCACTTGATCTGAGCTACTACAGCTAAGTTGCACCCTAATTAGGCCACACAAACACTAGATAAGGGTTTTTCTAAGCAACTCCGCCTGCTTAAACAGACCTTAACCCTCTTTCTTGATACCACTTCTCTTGCGCTAGGACTTCTGAGAAACCCCAGCGGCTATGCTTCCGGTCTACCTAAGTCTTTCCCAAGCAGCTCACTATGAAACAGCACACGCATCTACTTGGCCCCCACCTGCAAGTACTTGCTGGATAGACTAAAGGGTCTCCAATTGCCAATAGATGGAACTTACAACAGTGATTGTTGCCTCTCTAAAAGGTGAGGATGGTAGGTACAGGCTCCTCCGTAGACTTGTGCTCGCTCGAAGAGCCAACCTTAGAGTCAGAGGCATGTGTGGAGGCCAGTTTCTGCACAGAAGAACTTGGTTTAATTCTGCATTTGCATTCTTTTGATTAGCGCGTGATAAAAGCGGAATTTGATGGAAAATGGTCTTGACTTTATCGTAACAACCTCGCGTACAGGTGTTAATAATGCGAAACTGATACCCATAAATCGGACGACCCCCTTTCTTTGATGCATACAATGACTGGTCTACAATTTAGCACAGTCCGGGCAGCTTGTCTGCTCTGTCAACCAGCCATGACTCATTGAAGAAAAGACTTACCTGCTTTTTGCTCAGATTCTGCACAGAATGTCGTACCCAGGCGCAAGACGATACACATCTCTTCTCACCATACAGAACCTCAAGGTGGATGCAGCCAGCGAGTGCCGGCGCTCGTCAAGTGTACGAAATGCAGAATACTGTGGGAATGGGTTGGTATCAAAGTGCTTGACATACCTCTTCATACTTGGACTTCTTCTCCAGAAGCTTCTCCATCTTCTTCGCAATCTTCTCAAGCTTCTCGTGCAGGTACTTCGGATCCTTCTCCTTATCTTCCTTCTCCTTCTTCTTCTTCTCCTTCTTCTCTTCCTTCTCTTTCTCCTTTTTGTCCTTCTTCTCCTTCTTCTTCTGCAGGGAGTCCAAGGTAGCTTCAGAGCCTTGGCAAGTGTGATAATTCAGTGGGTCGCAAGCAGTCAGCCTCGAGAACAGCCGCGAGAAAAATCAATTGATCAGAAAAAGCAGCGCGGATGACTGTCCGAAGCAGACGAACAAGAGGTAACAAAGTGTGAGCCTGCTCGCATATTTCACTAAGATACGAGTTCCATTTCTTGCAACTTCAGGAAGTCCACTCTCCCATGCCTGGATATGATGAAACTCAGTGAAGGTGTTGTCAGCCAGCTCGAGCAGTACGAGCGAGCATGCAACAAAACAGTGATCTCTTTCAGAACCAGTGGTTGCTGTCCCCAGCCTAGCCTGTTACATTTTTCCATTCAGAAAAGAGAAGCAACGAGTCAACTCTTAGAACGAAGTTGGTTGAGCAAAAGCCAACACTCGCTGCCTCTCACCTTCTTGCGCTCCTCCTCGTCACCGCTTTCCTCATCATCTGCGCTCTCCTCGTCCTCTGACTTGCTCTTGTCCTTCTGCACATGAGTCAGAAGAGGACCTAAGAGAGGCTTTCCATTCATTGGGGGACGACAGCAGAAAGCTGTGCAGGTGTCTACTTTTGGTGACTATAAACATCAGCTCCCAGGCACAGAGGTAGGCTGCCACAGAAAAAGAGGATCGAGAGCAGAAACAGCTAACTACAAGCAGTAATCGGATAATTTGGAATGCAAGAAGCGCCTACTTGAGGAAAACCCTAATAATTCGCGCCAGACATTAGCTACCAGAGGGACAATATTGACTGACTGTGACAGCCACATGTGCTTACCTTGTCCTTCTTCTCCTTCTTGTCCTTCTTTTCCTTCTTCTCCTTCTTCTCCTCCTTGTCCTTCTTCCCCTCCTTGTCCTTCTCCTTCTGTATACAGCACAAAGAGTTGCGTAAGTGCTACTTTGAAATACTAGTTGTCCCGAAAACATGGTCACTGTCGTCAAAGCTTCAAGGCTGCAAGTACTCAAAATATGAAGCAATAACTGGACTATGTGAATCTCTTCGAAGTATTAAATACTGACAAGCAAGTTGGGCACGAATTTGGTTGATGAAGCGGCGAGAATGCTGTTTCAAAAGACAGGTCGGGTGTGAACCAGAGGGGGCAGTTGACCATTCTGAACATATGAATCAGAGTTTTCTTTCGTCTAGTTTCAAGAATCAAAGCTCAACCACCGATTCGACAACTTGAAAGACACTTCTCTTCTGGTCTGCTTTTCATTATTCAACCAGCAATACAGCGCTGTACACATAAACTTGCGCCGCTGCTGCTTATCTCTCCAATTATGCCAATTGCAACTTGGGATCGAGCAAGCAAAGTTTGGTAGTGTCGACACAATGACCACACCTTCTCAGGCTCCTCCTTGGTTGCATCCTTGCTGGAGACCTCCATTTTGTCGTCTGCGTGCGCTTCCTTCAGCTTGGAACCATCCGCCTGCAGCTTCCCCTTGATTTCCCCTGAATCCAACCTGCTCTCGGCGAGCTTGCTTACCATTGGCTCCTCTCCCCCCATGCTTCAAGTTGATGATACAAACCTCGCAAGGAACGTCAGAAATGGAAGCACGCTCGGACAGAAGAAGACAGAGGCGCCTCAGGACTTGCCTAGGAGCAATCAAGCGGGAATCAAGCGTGCGCCTTTGCTCCCTTGTTCACAAGTTTTCAGGATGAAAGCAGGCCTACAAACGATACATAAGCTATATATCGAGGCTATACGCGATGTCCTAAGGGGATCCCGGGTGTTGGTTCCGACCTGCGTCGTGAGTGTGCCAAGTGGCAGAACAAACCACGTGCGTAGCTCTCTCAATCAGGCGGACTGCGATTATGATCCCCGCATTGCATTTGGTAGGAAGTCCGAAGAACAGCATGGAGGCATTCTTCCTGCTGTAGCCAGTGTAGGTTCGTGCACCTGGCCTGCTCCTATTAGTGAATCATACTGATCAACAGCTTTTCACACAGACTGAGATTAACACAAGAACGCTCGTTGCAAAGTGGTGGTCGCTGTTTGAGAGACGTTGGCGACTTGTCCAGCGTGCGCTGGTGTGTACACCCTGCGATACAGATCTGCATCGCTGTGCGTTCAAAGGTTCCTGTGGAAATTCCTCAGGAAGTTGGAACTCCTTACTGTGGACGATCAATTCTGGCATCAATGCTCACATCCATGCAATTCAAGCAGAGCGCTAACTGAGCAGAAGTACTCTAGTCAAAGGTGGACCCGCCACCATTCACACCACCACTGGTCTTCAAATATGAGGAGGCGTCAATAAGCTGTAGCAAAGTGCGGGCGTGACTAACTCTGAAAAATGACACCTGCAATGGGTCTCTGGGCCATTTTTGAAACTGCCTGCTACCCGGTCGCCCAAGTCCTGCTCCTGTGCTTGGTCGGCGCAGTCCTAGCTAGTCGCCGAGTCAACAAGTTCTCTCCCGACGCTAGGAAACACTTGAACCACATGGTCTTTCTAGTCTTCACGCCCGCGCTCGTATTCGTCAACCTAGGGCCGGCCGCCACGATCGCAGCACTCTGGCAGTGGTGGTTCCTCCCTTTTAGCGTCCTGATAAACACAATCCTTGGGGCCTGTCTAGGTTACTTAGTTGTGGCCTTGACCAAACCGCCGCCGCACCTAGTTAGGCTGACAGTCGCTTGCTGCGCAGTTGGGAACATGAGCAACCTTCCGCTGGTGCTCATCGGAGCCATCTGCTCGAACTCAGGCGCCGTCTTTGGGCCCGAATGCTCTTCGCAGGGACTGGCGTACTCGTCCTACGGAATGGTGATGGGAGTCATTGCAATGTGGGTCTTCGCTTACCCATACCTCGAGCCCCCCCATGAGACTGATGAGCTGCTCAACAGTCTATGCCACCGTGAGCCTTCTGAGGAACCTTCCTCTCTCTCGGCTGCGGAAGACATAGGTTCAGACAAAGAGGGGGTGGCGTTTGAAGCAATGGTTGATGGTCACGATCAGCCACAGCCAGCGGGAGGTTGTCCACCGATAACTTGGTCAGATAGATTTGAGAGCAATGATGACAGGGGTCTTTCACCGGGACTACAAGCAACGAGGGATGTTGTAAACTCCAGTACGGAGCCATTCGCCGATGAGCGCATTCGGGGTGGGCCGAAATGTTGGGAGTGGCAGAGTTTCTTAGGGCGTCAAAGGTGGGATAGGATAATCACCCCTCCGGTTAGCGGAGTGATCTGTGCAATCCTAGTGGGTGCAATCAGCCCCCTCAAGAGCGCACTTTTCGGGCCGAATGCACGATTCAAGCTGCTGACGGACGTCATTGTGAACTTAGCAGCCGCGATGACTCCGTGCATGATGCTGGTGTTGGGGGGGAACATAGCGGAGGGCCCCAGAGCGTCAGCGTTGAAGGCTCAGACTATTCTGGGCATTGGTTGTGTCCGGCTGATTGTCCTGCCGGTACTAGGCATTGGAGTTCTGAAGTGCGCAGATGCGCTGTCGCTGCTCCCTCCGAACGACCCCCTCTTCCGGTTTGTGGTGCTCTTGCTATCCGCTATGCCAACCACACACAACATTGGCATAGCCGCAACGATGCACGGGACCCGGGAGCTGGAGACATCGGCGCTTCTCTTTTGGTCCTATCTTGCCTCCACGTTGACCATACCTGTATTCATGATGCTGTTTTTGTACTATCTCCTTTGAAAGCCAGACTCCCAATCCAAGCATGCAAGCACCGATCGCCACACATAGGCTCTGAATCAGCCGCCTGAAACAGCTCCGGCCAATGATCAGTTGCCATAAGTAAACAAACTTATGGCACGGGTTGCAAGTCACTGACCACAGTCTGCATGGCCATGATCGAGATCAGGCTCTGCGCACATGCTCAGTATACTTCTGTAGAACTCCTCTTGAACGCTGATTAGTCAGTGTACTTTTATGATAGGTTAGCAGGCTTGGATAAAACGCCCTGCATGCTTCACGCCAGACTTTGATTTCGAGTTGTTCAAAATGTCCTGGCCAGTGACATCTACCGTCATATGTACTTAGCTACTAGCGCCACATGAGCCCGCGGGCCGTAAGGATCCAGATGACTTGACCAATAGCTGCATTACGATGTTAGATATGAGTTGTTCAATCCTGAGATCATGCATTGCTACCGTACAATGCAGCAAAACTGTAGATTGCGACGTATTGAACTGCAATGATGTGACGGCGCACGCGTGTGATCCCATCTTTGCCGGCGCGCTTGTTTAATGTTCAAACCTCAATGTTGACGATCATGGTGCATGCTAATGCAATCATGCACGCTCGGCGCCAAACTTATATCTGTTCCACTCGTAATACAGCTATATATAGCCATGCATGATGTCAACTTCCTGATCGAATTATATCTGCAAATGAGCCTAACACATGTGTGCTACAACCCAAGATCCTACAGTGCTAGGCCGATACGGTAGATTTATGAAGATTCGAACGATTTGTGTCTCTGTTACCAGGTAACGCTCTAGCTCAAATGATTGACCATCATTCGTAAGGACATCATTTTTCCATATGCAAACAGATGGTGGACACTGACAGCCTGTCAAGCTGCCCATTCGCCATGAGAAACTCAGCTCAACTCTGGAATCAGAACAAACAAACGTTCGATGAGCTGTTGATCGCCTTGACAAATGAAGACCGTAACCGACAGACTATGTAGCCCACTGCCATGCAAGTTTCTCCTACTGATTTTGACTTTATGAGTAGGAGAGACTCAGCGAGCTTGAGTGCATTCGCTGGGCGCAACGCCTAATAAGCTGAATCCGAGTTTGTCAACATCAGACGCAACTGTAACTTATGTACCTGACAACTCCGATGCAAGACTCCGTTCCTCGACTTAGCCCATCATTACGTCCTCCTCAGGACCTGGAGGGTCCGGGTTATAGAAGCACGACTCCTCGTAGATGAGCGCCCGTACAATATCTTCTGTCAAGTTTTGCTGCTCAAAATCAAACATGAAGGGGTACGGGCAGCTCGGCTCGTCATTGATGTCGTGTAGGCTGGCCAAATACGGGTGGTTCAGCGCCTCAATGACTGCAATAGGACAACGAAAAGGACGGATTTAGCCAACAACCAGGGCACCTTGTACCTTGGATTCCGAATTAGCCGACATATCAGAAGCTTTGATTAGAGGCTTTAATCAGAGTAGAGTTGTGTGTCGTTTCACGTTGTGTGAGCTGCCTTCGAGAGATCAACAGTGTGAGACGTCGCATCCCATCTGCGACATCTTGATTCACTTAAGTACGAAGGGAAGATCAGCAGAAGACCCATTCTCACTGATCAAAAGAGCCCCGCTGCAAACACTCTGACTTGCAGATTCCCAACAGACAGATTGTCCTCCAAAGCATGCAGCCCAGGCAGCCCTACTTCTTTGCCGCTACTCTTATGCTGAAAGTACCGCTAGATGTAACGGAATCAGGACTTTACATAAGTCTGGGTTACCAATCAACTCCAAGCAGAAGCTCTTTTGACCTGGAAGCTCTTGCACACATGCAACTATTGCAGCCCCACTAGTGCATTACCTGAGAAACACCGCCCGACCACCCAGTGACACGCTGTATCAGTCGTTTCAGGGCTATCAAAGAAAGGAGACTTTTCTCTTGACAGGGCGAGACTCCTCACCGGTGATCCGCTTGTTGGGGTCGAACACGAGCATCTTGTCGATCAGGTCCATGGCCATGGGCTGCACCGTCGGGTAGAGCTGCGCGAGCGGCACGCGCTGCTGCTTCGGCAGCGACTGGATGTACCGCTTCGCGTTCTGGCTGCGCAAAAAGCCCAGGTCGCCCTCCTCGGGGGAGCCCAGGACCTGGAAAAAAGGTATCACATTTTTTTAGGGCGACCAACACATGCGGCGTTAAGAGCTATGCTTCTTTTGTCACAGGCTCAAGTCCTGGCTGCGCAGGATGCCCAGGTCGCCCTCCTCGAAGGAGCCCAGGACATACGGGAAAAGGATAAGTTTTGATTTGGGGCGACCAGATAACGCGGTACTTTTAAGTACTCTCCTTTCTCGTCACAGGCTCAAGTCCTGACTGCGCAGGAAGCGGAGGTCGCCCTTTTCGGGGGAGCCCAGCACCTACTGAAAATGGGATCGTGACTTTAGCGCGACCACAAAACAGGTTTCCTTACGACCTCTGCTTTCCTGTTACATGCTCAAGTCTTGGCTGCGGAGGAAGCCTCCTCGGGGGAGCCCAGGACCTACGGGAAAAGGATGAAGAGTTAGATTAGGGCGACCAGAAGACGCGGTTCTGTAAGAACTCTGCCCTCTTATCACAGGCTCAAGTCCTGGCTGCGCAGGACGCCCAGGTCGTTCTTCTCGAAAGCGCCCAGGACCTACGGAAAAGGGGATCGTGACTTAGTTGAGGGCGACCACAAAACGCGTTTCCTGACGAAAACTCTGCTTTCTTGTTCCATGCTCAAGTCTTGGCTGCAAAAAGCCCAGGTCGTCCTTCTCGGGAGAAACTCAGGACCTAATGAAAATATGACCTCACGAAAAAATTCTGGTCTACGGAATGGTTCACATAAAAGGCGTCGTGACTGTGACAGATTGCAGTCCTGCCAGCTGTGATCCGTCACCGAGCAGTTGCGCTGCTAACGTGTCAAAGTCTGATGTCAATCCGAAGGCGTTCTGAAGGCTGACTGGAACTCGCAATTCCCGAAACAAGGTGCTTCTGAGGATCTATAGGAGGAGAAGACTGTGTACCAGCACCAACCCGTCAGCTTTATATCACAGGTCAACTGAGCAAGGCGAGCAACATCCATAAAAGCCTGAGAATCTTGCAGATCCAAAGTGGTGGCCTAGCACAGCATGCGTCCAACTCGATTAGGCTAGCGGTGGGTCGAATAGTCCTCCGAAACGGACGAGGGAGGCAAGGGTCTCACCTCCGTGATCAGCTTCAGTTGATGGACGTAATCCTTTCCGGGGAAGAGAGGCCGCCGCCCCAGCAGCTCCGCAAAGATGCACCCGACGCTCCACACGTCGATGGCAGCGGTGTACTCCTGAAGCGACAAGCGAAACGGTAGGGTTTGCATCGACCGAAAAGCTGCAGAAAGCTTCCCAGATTCTTCCGAGCTTTGAGCCAATCGAATGGTCCAGTGAGTCCACATCGTTAGAAAGGTACATACCAAAGCAGTATATCGGCCTGATCAGTACAGTACCTCCTACTTGG